CAGATGGTGGTCCACAACTTCTTCTATACAGGGGGACCATCGGGTACATCAGGTGTAATCCTCAAGGTACAATTAGATATCATCAGGTTAGGATCTAAACACGAAATGTCACTTTGAAAATAAGTGAATACAACAAATGAAACTGTTCCTCAACGGATAAGTTCTCTAATCTGAACATTAAGCTGACTTGGTTAGTTCATTTCAACGATTCAACCATTTGCCATTTACTCCAATAAATCTTCATTTGCAATGTTACACCCTTAACAGCTTTGTAGAAGAATAAAATTTCTTAAAAAAAGACTGAAAACAGCCGTTACGTATAGTTTTAAACTTATTAGATGAGTTAATATTAATAATTTATAAAATCTATAGAGATTAAACGTTTCTTATAACTTAAGCCCTAATATAAACCAGTTATTTATCACTGGTTTATATCAATGAATAAGAATAAAATTTCTTAAATTATTTGACACCCTGTATATAATAGTCAGTAACAACTTTGATTGAGGATAACTTTTTAACTACCTGTCCGAGAGCGCTTAATCTTGCAGTAGTCATCTTATAAACAAAGGTAATTGTTTAGTGCTGACGTGCTAATTTTTATAAAAATTTAAAAATTCGTTCATCCACTGAATATTTGCTCATTTTTTGGTTAACCTTGGTACAAATGTGATGAAAACCCCATTGTGCTGCTGCGGATATGGTCGACAACTTTCAAAAACAAGCCAAAGCCAACAAGAGATATGGTTACCAATTTTAAACGAGAAATTTGAGAGAACGGGCAACATAAAGGAATTATGATGAGGCCAGGACAGGCAGACCAGGATCTTCGAGGTCAGAGGGGAAATTAAGGAAGCAAGAGTCATGGATTATGAAGATCCAAACATCAGTGTCCGAAAATTGGGCCAAAAAAGGTTGACATATAGATTTTGGGGAAGCCAAAAGTCCGAGTTTGTTGTCGCAAAGCCTCCTTTCCTTAATTAATTAATTAAAAGACTCACTGTTTGGGCAGCTCTTTGCGAGGATTTTGTTATCGAACCTTTTTTCGTGACCACAACAGTCAACAGTGAAGTCTACAAGGGCATTTTGACTGACCACTTCCTTCCCAGGGCCTACTATAAGGATAGCGTCAACGAAATGTGGATCATGCAAGATGGGGCATCTCTTCATCGAACTGAAGATGTCATCAACACCTTACAATCACATTTGGGGTCAAGGGTGATCGCTAAAGGGTTCCCAGAGAACGGCAGAGGAGGAATTTCATGGCCATCTTATTCCTCGGACCTCAATCCCATGGGTTCTGATAAATCCTATTGCCAACCCTGAACAGCTAGAATACACAGTATGTTATCAAAACTGAAATTCAAGCCATTTCCGATGAAGTTCTGGTGAATTGTCGCTGGTTTCGAGCATCGATTACGGTCCTGTATCGCCTGCGAAGGAGAGCAGCTTCCATTTTAAATGGAAGAACGCGAAAAGCATACAAAAATACTTCTCGATGAGTCTCCAAATCGCGACCATGCACACAGCGAAATGCAGAATCAACGATCTAGACAACTCGGACCATCGCCGCTTCTTATTCGGCTGCAATTTGAAAGAATTGTAGACCTATAAATTCCCACTGTCTCACCTTCCTTAATCTCGAGAACGGAGTTAGATAGATGAAAGACGAGACCGGATATGGAAACTTTAGGGACAGGACCCTGATTAGCTTTATACGAACTCCCGATGAAAACTGGAAGTCACGTTATGTCAATTCAAAAATTTCCCCTGTAAGGTGTTAGTTAGATGACCGGTACGACTCTACATTGTAAAAGGAAAAGTATGATGTACAGGGGCAAGCCACTGCCAATTTGAAGTGGAGAGCATATATTTTAAATGAAATAAATTAAAAATGCAGCCTGGGATTGTGACCATGTCACAACAAATAATTGCAAGTTAGTGTTTATACTAATCATGACATTTAAATAACATAAAAGTTTTTTTCTGTTTTTTTTCGGAAAAAACTTTTATGTTATTTAAATTTTATGTTATGTTATCTGGGAAGAGATCTGTATAAAATTACACATATTTCATTAAAAAGTGATATTGATAATTCCCAATTTTCCGATATTAGATACTGTATTTTTTTAAGAACATGTAGATGTTTCATATCTGTTTTAACCATTCTTAAAATCTTGAAAAGAAATCTCTCGCTTAACTGACTTGTGCCAGCCTGTATTTAATAAATTGTTTTTCTTATAAGAGAATTGAATTTATAAGTTCAATTATTGAAAATGTTTTATTTGTTAAATTTGCTAATGTTTGTAGTTATTATGCAGATTTTCTTTTCCATTGGAATAATGCTTTTTTATGACAACAAGCAGAAGTAATTAGGTTTTTAAGTTTGAGTTTTCCAGAAAATCCGATGACCATTGAATGAATAATGCGGCGTTTCTGGCTAATAAAATTAAATAATTAGTGTAATTAGTTAATTCTAACATTTGAAAATCTTTCTCAGAAAATGAAGATATTGGAATATAAAGAAAATATCATTTGTAAAGGAAGTTGAGCAATTTCGGATGCTTATTTAGTAATAATTTCATTTTTTTCCCATAATTTTACTCCATAGAAATTAGTAAATTTGTCAAGAAAATAATTTATATGTTTTACGTTTTTATCAACGAATTTATCTCTTGATGATGATTTATAAAATAAGTTAACTATTTTAAACTACACTAAACTAAATACTAAAAGATTTTTCTGATTAGGCTGTAGTAAGTTTGTTAAATAATTTAAGATTTACGATAAACTTTATATTGAATTATATATAATTATTCCGCTTTAAAAGAAACGGTAAATATACTGTTAAAAGCGGGATATATTCTATATTAATCTTTATAATTGATTCTTGAAAGGCCGTTGTAAAGTGAGTGCTTATATTTCTCACTGGTATTGTCAATATTTTTACAACAATGTCATAAATCGATATTGTTGTGATAATATAGTTTATCGTGATTTAATACTGTTTAATTTAAGTCATGTAAAAATATTTCCAAACAGTCAAACAAAACAAAAAATTAGTCATAAAAAGGAAGGTCTATTGAACATGTGTTTAGTATTATTCAGTTATGACAAAAGGTTGATTCACGTTCAACTTTAGTCAACGCTAAATCTAAAAGTTGTCATTTATTATATTTGTCAATGGAATATTACGATCATTCTCATTTCTTTGTTTTCATCCAAACTGGTTATTATTATATTTTTACTACAGTTATAGTGTATTTTTATGAAATACACTTAACTGATATTATTTTTACATAAATATCAGTTAAGTTTTTTCGTAGTTGAAAAATATTTGAATTGCAATTGGAGGAAATGAAGAAGAAATGCCAGATGCATCTCGAAAAAAAGAAATGCATCCCGTTTAGTGACTTAATTTCTGGATTTAAGTAGAATTGATATCAAACTTATCAGTGATGATTAAAATTGAATGAAATATTGAAAGAATGAAATATTTACGTGCAAAATTCTATATATAGAGCCTATAGAAATGGTTGTCACATACTACAATTTTATAAAATAAAGAGCATCGTTCCCATTATGGCATTAAATATGATTGATATACTTGTCTATATTTTGTATATAGAACTTCAATCTGTAATACCGAGCCTATGGGGAAATTATAGAACGCATTATTTTATAAGCGAGTGTCTATTGGATATATAATTTCTATCAGCTGAAAAGATTTTTAAATTTCAAATTTCATTCACTTGTTTAGCTATCAAATAAAATGCTAATTATTTATGAAATATTTTTCCAATCATACAATTAAAAATTGAGAAAGCTTTGTATGAATAATAACAAACTGTTCCACGACGAAACGAAGTTACATAAATTTTTATTTTATTTATAGACGTTGTTATCTGCGTAAGTTATTCTTCTAGTAGCTTACATATAAGGATGAAAGTTTTCATTTCATTTGCATAAAAGTAGTAATTGTCTATGTATAAAGTAACAATAATTAGCCTATTTCGTGTGAATGAATGATTTGTTTTGATTCTTTTAAAACTAATTTTGAAAATATTTTTGTATTTTTGTTTGTTTGTTACTAAAAATTTTTATCCTGTGATTAGCTTGTGATAAAAGATTTAATGTTCTGATTGTAGGGGAGACTTTTATTTACTGTATAAATTGTAAATCTGACCACCTGAGAGTTGATTGTTGTCACCAATATCATAAACAAACGTGAGTTTTAAAGTTATGTAAAATGTCTGGGATATATATTAACTATAAATTTTTCTAAACACGACTAAATAGCAAAATTTAATTGTAATTAAAATCTTTGAGTGAAGTTTATAAATAATTTATAATATAGGCCTAGTTGTTGTTTATATATAGCCTACTTTTTCTGATCAAAATAAAAAAGAATTATATAAAAAGGATCACAGAAATAGCAGCAGAGTACCATTGAAACAATAAAAAGATCGCTAAATACAGTGTATTTAATATCTAAAATATGCAAGTCTGGTATTTAATATCGTTGTACTGATGTTAAACAATCTTGAGGCGAATGTGTATTTCATTAGTGTATATTCTTGTGTATTTTATAATTATATTAAATATAAATTACTAATACATTAAATTTAACAATTTTTTTACCTGTTTATACTTTTTTTGCTGTGTGCTTTTGTACTCTTCTTTGCTGTGTGTGTATATATACATTTATGCACCAAAGGGAGGCTTCTGTTGTCTTACTGACATTATTACTTAAATATTACAAGGCAAAGAAATTAATACTTTGCACGATATGATCTAATGACAGGATTTGAATTTTTATTACTTCTCATTTAAAAATTCTAAATTTTATTCTATTCTTATCATAGATATTTTTATTCTTTAACGAATTCAAATTAATTTTTTTACTTACGTAAAAGATGTAACCTATTCGTAATGCATTCGTATGATTTTAAAAGAAAACCATTTTAAATGACTGATGTGAATTTTGAATTTTTTTTTAGGGGAAGCGGTATTCATGAGATGTCTGTCATCTCTCAAAAACGAACGTGTGGAAGCCAGTAAACATTTAAAAGGACCCGAGAACACAAAATATGATGGAGATAAAAAGGAATTTATCGAACATATTCGTAAGGTTAGTTTTTTAACTTGAATATATTCGGTGGTAGATTTAAGGCTGTAGAAAGTGCAATAGCACGTTTAGCATTGGGATGTGTGGAAAACCACGTGACCAGGTCCTCCGAGAACTTATGTGGAGGTCTAGATAGAGCGGTCCTCTTTGCCATGTTTTTGAACAAATTAAATATGTAAAATGTTTGTTTTATTAATTTAAAAAGTATTATTATTATTACTACTAACGAAAAATAAAATAATTAATTTAAAGAGGTAGGAAGCAATTCAGGCTCTAAATTTTCCCGGGAAGAAAATCGCCAGATTCCCCCTTCTTCCTGATAGTCCTAAATGCGACTGCTTCCACAAAAGACACTTCACGCTGGTTAGGAAAGACAACTTTCTTTTCGTCCAAACCTCAACTCCCTATTCTTGCTCTCGATCTTTCAAATCTGTCACCACTAGCCAAAAGCATAAATCCCGCGGACAACTCATCCACTTTCCACCTGTACCTGTACGTGGAAGCATTCGAAATTAGAAGTTTAAGGATACTGTATAAGAAACAATTCGACTTAAGAAACTCAATTTAGACATTCTCACTTGAGAAGTGCGCGAACCGATCTGCCATATGTTAGGACTAAAATCCATTAATTACCTAATGTCAACTTTGTTACTTGATTTAATCAAGAGATTTGATAAAGTATTTATTCGGATAAAGTTGAAAATTAAGCTGACTTATTCAAAAACGATGAATAAGCAAGAACAAAACTTAAAATTCGAAGTTTATCCAGATTGTAGAATTATTCATTGTTGTTTAGATAGTTGAATATACAGGCTGTAAAGATGTAATTTAGACATTTCGATTTTTTCTAGAATCGTATATAAATACACAGTGTAGAGTAACCAAAGGGCGTTTCATCACATATTTCATTAGAAATAGATGCATTGGCAATGTCTGACAATATGAAACTTTCGAAAGAACATATTTGCGTGCTGCTGTTCTATTACTTTAAAAGTGACCACTACGCAACGAATGTTCACGATCTTATCTGCAAGGCATTTGTGAGGATAGTCAACAGACAAACCTGCTACAATTGGTTCAAGATCAACTCCATCCAGGTAACGATTCCACCATTTATAGACGATTCATCCTCTATAAAGAAAGACGTGTATTTGCGTAAATTTAAAAAAACATGTGGCAATTCTACATTTAAATAATACTATTAATTTAAATAATGGAATCGAAATAGAAGGCGCGTGGTGGAATATCGTCAGAGATAAAAGTCGGTTGTAAAAATGAATGTCGGTTAATTGATGGTGTACGAGCAGGAAATTTGTAAAAATGAAAAAAAGTCAGTTGTAAGTTTATATTGATAATATTGCTTTGTAAATTCTAAAAGATTGTAGGCTATTTTTGTTTTATAGCCTGAAGAGGGGTGACAATATCTGTATAAAAATCACCCGAAATGCTTAACTTATTTTTTGAAGAATAAATTATTGTTTTTCTGTTCTGAGTATCCTTGGTGTAAGTTCTTTGTTTCTGATAAAAGGGGAAGAAATTAAATCAACATTGTTAGATTTTGTTTTATTGTTTTTAAGCTAAAACCAACAAATGACGATATGTGATTGATAGATATTGATGGTGTTTGATTAAATTAAATTTGTTCTTTGCTCTTTGTTGATGGTTAGAAGCAATTTTTTCCTAAATACAATGTAAATATTTTATTTTTTTTTAATATTTCATAAGATTATTAAAATTCTTTAATAGTATCATTGAAAAATTTAACAGGTGTATTCAATTTTATATATATACTAGCTGCAAGGACCCGCTTCGCTGGGCAAAAAGTAACGATAGTGAAGATTAAGATAATTACATTATAGCCAATCTTACCCGTTTTCACAGAGTGCAAGAATTAGGTCCCCCATTTCCAGACTAATTAGAGACCTGGTCCCGATTCTATTTCTGAACGTCTCCTGTTCACGTCCAGTCAAACGAACTATTTTCAACGTTTCTGGAACGTTTATAATCGTTCTATAATCGAACCAATATTCGAATTTTATGTTCGAATTTAATTCGAACAAACTCGAACATTGTTCGAATTAAATTCGAACAAAACATTCGAAATAGAAAGCCACTTTCAACCACTTTCAAGCCCATATCTCCCGCACCCTTATAGCTATCGAGACGCAACCACCCCTATGCACGAATAGAGACTTGGGGCTACTACCACATACAAACACCATTCACGTGCGATGTGTAGTTTTTGCGAAAAAGTGAAATATAGAGACATACATGTCCATTTTTATATATATATATATATTAGTCATTATAAATATTACATGATAAAAAATGAATAAATTACAACGTATTTTATGTAGTCAAAATGTATATTATCAATCGAAAACATTACAATAATATCTATTATTGATAAAATATTACGAGAACATTTTCATTAAATTCTATTATGTTTTCATTTAATAATTTATTTTTATTTTATTTTATGGTCAGGCTCTTTATGCGTCAAAGATAGTTTCCTACACACAAGGTTTCATGTTGTTAAGAGAAGCTGCAAAAATTTTTAATTGGAATCTTAATTATGGTGCAATTGCTCTGATGTGGCGAGGCGGATGCATCATCAGAAGGTACGTTTATACATTTTATTTATCTGCCGAATTCATAAAAATTCAATCGTTCTGTAATTGAAATGAAAAATATTTCCATCGTTTAATCAGAAATGATAATGTCAATGTTCATTCTTCAGAAGTATTCATTTTTGAAGAATAATTTTAAAATGAAGTACGGTATATAAGAAGTATTTTAAAATGAATAGTTTAAATTTCTCTTATTTGATTACAAGTTAGTTACATATATCATTTATATTTAATAAATCTTTCTACATCTCTGTTAGAGGAATAATGCATAAATTATCGTAAATGTCTTCTTCAAACTGTTGATTAGTCTACTAATGTGTAACACATCTGGTTACATTAGGATAATGGGGAGTCCTGATTTTTGTCATTTACTTGTGCAGCGTTGTATATCATTAAATAAGATAACTTACAATTTGTTAAAAGAATTTGTCAAATTTTCATGATTGTGGACGTGTAAACTAAAAATCCGAAATAACTTTTTTTTTTCCTTTGCATGCTCCTGCAAAAAGAAACGTGCAGAATTTATCCCAGACCCACAATTCGATGCTTTTCTTCTTATTATTATTTTTAATTGTTCAACCTTTAGAGTTCAGAAGCTTTAGACAAACTCAGAAAAATCATTGAAATTTTTACCTTTTATCAAATTTCTAGAATAAACATTTCACTGTGAAACATTTAAATGTATAGTCATTCCAAAAAATACATTACAGTATATAATATAATTATGCGTTTTCTTCTCTTCCATTCTATATATAGAGCTGAAAGATTCTGAATAGAGCTGTATGATTAAAATGAGAAACTGTTGGTATGTTAGGACAAAATTTCAAAATTATCGCACGCGTGCTTGCTTGGGATAAAAGAATGTTGTTACTAGGAAAGTGATTTGTGCACCCGATACAGTGCGAAGCAGTTAAAAAAATCAAACAAGGTTCCGAACAAAGGACAATTTAATCCCAAAATCTGGATATTATTATGGACGACGAGTCTTATTTTATTTTGTGGACATTCAGAATCATCCAGGATTACGGTTGTTACTGTGAAAAAGGAAGAACGATATGTCAGAAGTAAAGATCAAACGTTACTCAAAATTCCCGCAACATTTGGTTTGAGTAGCCATAAGCCCTCGCGCGCGGTATCTGGTCTTCATCGCATTGTCTAAACTATGAATCAACTCGAAGTGGATCAAGTGACTAGTCTCATTCTTGAAGCACTAACGGAATGGAGATTGTGTTTCAGTCAGATATAGCAGCGTTCCACAAAACACAAATGCTGCTTGGATGATAGTGGGATGCGTATTGTATTGTACATTGCTGGTGAAAACAACGTGTCTAATGTGCCTGAACAGAGATCAATCGAACGGTTTCGGTTAACTGATACCGAAACCGTTCGATTGATCTCTGTTCAGGCACATTAGGCACGTTGTTCACACGTTTTAAAAGGTTCTAGTAAGGCTGAAAACCGTGGAGTAGATTTGATTTTGTTAAACTGCTCAAATGTTTTCTTTCAGTCTAATACTAATTTACGTGCATTGTTTATTCTGAAAGTTAAAGAATTCATTTGAAACTCTTTATTCTGGATTTTATTTACACATCCTTCTGAGTTAAGAATATTTAAAATAAATCTAAAAATTTACAATGCAAATATTTATAGTGTTTTCCTGGGTAACATCAAAAGTGCTTTCGACAAGTCTCCAAATCTCTCAAACCTTCTACTGGACAACTTTTTCCAAAAGGCAATTCAAGATTGCCAAGATTCGTGGCGTCAAGTAGTGGCAACCTCCGTCAAATTGGGAATTCCCACACCCGCATTCAGTACTGCCTTAGCTTTCTATGACGGAATTCGATCCGAGAAACTTCCCGCAAATCTTCTACAGGTATGAATTTCAATGAGTTAGTAAAAATAAATTACCCTCTATTTATGTGTGTAATTTCAGGCGCAGAGAGATTATTTCGGCGCCCATACCTACGAGCTTTTATCCAGTCCAGGAAAATTCGTTCATACCAATTGGACGGGTCACGGAGGAAATGTTGCCTCCACTACATACAATGCCTAAATTAAGCATATCCATTATTGTTTACCGAATCACGTTATTAGTTGAAAATCATTTGATTTTGTTAGAGAAATTTTTCAGAGTTAGTTTTTTTTAAATATATGAAAATATTTGGAGAAATAAAATGATGTATTTTTGTATTTTGTTTAAAAATCTTCTATACGCAACTTTTTAAATGTAAGAAACACAGATAGGGCCTATTATTGGATTTGGACCTTTATAACTGTTAAATTGATTGCTTAATTAGTATTGTCTCTCTACCAATAAATTTTGAAAATTAAGTGGCAATCTTTTGAAAAACTTACTAGAGAAATTTTAGCGAGTTTTGTGTTTCCGTAATAGTGAAAGTTCGTGTTCATTTCTCCAAAATGCGACAAAATTAAAGTATTTTTTATTTTAATCTTCTATTGAACGAACCGCAATGTTTTTCTTAAACCTCACGATGATCGTTATGGAAATTCGTCGGTATTAATTCAAATTAGATTATTATTTTTTCATTGGATTCTACCGAGGTAATCTGAAACTACTGTTAAGTAAATGTATGAGTTACTATTAATACAAAGCAATAGTTAAATAAATATAATAACTATTAGATCGGTATTTTCCAACCAAGTATCACAAACTCCTATGGACCTATGAGATTGCTTGTGAATGGAATATAAAATAAAATAAAAAGAGAACAGACTAGGATATTTAAAAAAGTGTATAATTTAATAATGAAATGCTCAAATTAAATAGGCAAAACTTCACAAGAACAGAGCGAGCTCAATATGTGAGTCCTAGTCAGGCCCAATTAAAAAATACCAGAATTTTTTATTAAATCAATGATTTATTATTTATAGTTTGAAAAAGACAACTCGAGATTTGACATATGTAAATACAGACTGGACAACCACCTTACTATTCACCACAGGCATCAAATTTTGTCGTTACGCCTGTCTCTAAATATTGGATAAATTACAAAAACTAAATTACACCTGCTGATATATCCGAATATTTCGTTAAAATCATAAAAAAACTCGAACATAAAGTATTAATTCGTCCGGTTTCCATCAAGCTTTGTCTGATTTCCGCACAAAAAAAAATCAAAAATGAACTTCAATAAATCATTAGAATCGTTCTAAGACGTAATTCTAAAATGATTCTGTAAGATTTTCATTCTAATTAAAAATTACTCTTATAAATTTCAACACATTACACATTCTGATAAAGTATAACTAAATGTAATCAGAGAGACCACATCACTGAATTGGGACGTTTTGCTACTATAAACATCTGTATATAACAGTACCATTAAAAGCGGACACACGTAACTAGCTCAATTGGTTCAAAAATTTACCACATCTTATCTGTAGATAAGTTGACCGTTTAACCACTTGCCGTACGAATTTTTTAAGGAATTTTTAATTAAACATAAAAAATACTTAAAACTGAAAAAAACGAAAGAAATGCGTTAATTTTGAAGAAAAAGCTTCAAACTTTATTTTCCATTGTCTCGCCTTTCTGCGAAATTTGACACTGATGAGTCATTGTTTGTACAGCTGGATGACCTTGAAAACAGCTGGTGTTGGATTTTCCGGGACATTCTCAGACGTCTCGGGAGGACAAGGGTTTAAAGTAGGGTGAATACTAGCTGGCGGTATATTTTTAAAAAATTAAAATTTTTATTGCGATTTCCGACCCCCCGATTTAATTAAACTTATATATAATAAAATATATTAATTAAAAAAATTAAAAAAACTATTGGAGGTCGTTTTTGACATCAGAAACTAGCTTTAAATAACTTTACCTAAGTAAAATCCGTGCACTACAACTTTAGAACAATTGATTAAATTTGATTAAAAAAAAAACACATTAAAAAACAATTAAGCGTTAATCGTGCGTCATTAAAGGTAAATTAAAATCGCGATAAAAATTTTTTCGCGCGGATAAAAATTTTAAAAAAAATTTGGAGACAAAAAACATTCCAAAAATCCAAAAAATGGGGGCGAAAGGACCGCGTTTTCTGTAACGCTATGTAACCTACCCAAGTTAACTCGGGTCCGGACGTTAGTGAGCAATGATAAACCTGTGACCCGCGCGGCAACTTACTCATTAAGGGATAATTATCCGCATTCAATGTTTGATAAGTTTCAAAACTTCGCATGTCATTTCTAAATACGGTATTTTTAGTTAGTGTGAGAGCGAGTTCTAAAAACTAATTATGATTCTCAGGAAAATTATCGAATAAACAATAGCAGATTTCCCATTAGAGGAAATATCTGTTTCCGTTATAATGACATCATTTTCAATTAAATTGCATGCTTCGAGCCCTTCTATTTACCATTATTAATTATTTCGTTACTATTATCAATTTAAGAATATAACGTCTTTCAGGGCTTATACGTGGAGACCGATTTTCAGATTTTAGTTTTTATTTAACATTAATATACAATACTTAACTAATTTTACAATAAAATTTTCTGCCTACTAATAAATATGCATTTCTGCATCATGTTTACAACTGATCAGTTTACATTTTAGACCGTTTTATTTAAATTAATGTATTTAAAATTTCGGACATATTCAAAAATTTAATAATGTAATAGCATGTCCGGAATCAGGAGTTTTGAGTGAAAAGCTGTGTATAATAATTGATTTGAAAGTTATTGTTTCTTTACAATTGTCACTCTTTTACGCTCTTTCACGTATTAAATAAGTCATGGGAAACGTAAATTCTAAAGTAAGCCATAATAATTATTTCTATCTGAAATTAAAATGCATTCTTATTATTCGATATTTTTATACATTATTATTTTAATAGATACTAAAATTTTTGGGAATTCGAAGCGAAGCCGACTCTATAAAGAAATCTTACTCGTATTTATCTCTCAAATCTTTCGACGATGAATCGTCTGTAGAAAGTGATGGCAATCAATGGAATTTATTTAAAGTAGGCAGCACGAAAATTTATTTAAGTGATGATATAGCCAATTTTGATTCTTTTGAATGGGATTACTCCTGCAGTAGTATTTCGTTAAAGGAAAGCAGAAGGGGGGAGAGTATAGAAAGCATTAAATGGAGGAGGACTGCATCTGGACATTGGACTAGAGCCGCGTCCTCCTCTTTTGAATCTTCTGTTCCTCGTAGATTCGACTCGATTATTTCCGATTTTCATTCCAGTAGATCTGACAATTTGGACGAAGATGTACGCAATATTCCTTTGCGGTATTCAGAAAGCGATTCTCTTAGCAATACTGATTACGAGTACGAAGACGTAGGCGATCATACGAAATCAAAAACGTTTTCTGAAAATCACGACGTTGATCAAAAACTTCGTAGGGATAATTATTTAGGAAATACTCAAAACTGCAAGAATAAATTTTTAAGCCAAATTCACAACGGATCACAGAAACAAGAGCCATTGCCTCTCGGCGATAAAGAATCTTTGGTAACTCTCCGCCCTGAAGCATCTTTGACTAATTTGAAGCAAGTTCAAAAATGTTTTTCTAGAGCACAAGAAAAACGTGATTCCGATTCAGAAATTTCAAAAGTGCGAGCATCAAAACGAATTGAATCGGAGACAAAGACAATAGCGAAGAGTCATTTGAATGCTCCTCGTCCAGAATTTACAAAAACTCAAATTTCTTCTGTTAGTAAAACTCGACAGAAAAATTCGGTAGGAAGAAATAAGAAAATTTATCGCAAACGCAGATATAAACGTTATCCAAAATCCGTATTGACTGATGAATCTTCCCCATCACCGGTAAATCACGTCAATTTTGACAGTTTTTTTTCTTTGTTTTGTACGAATTAAATTTATTAATTCATCAATTAAAACAATTTTTAGATACGTAAGAAAGGAGAACGAATTTCAAAGCCCCGTAAACAATTACCATCGGTCGATCAAAGTGAAAATTTGAAGCTGTACGAATTAACACAATCGTGAGGAAAGAAAATGAATGACGAAGATTATAAAGCTATTAAAATATACTTAAGAAATGAATCAAAACAGATTAATGAAATTATATACAATTTGTTTTTCTTCGTAATTAAAAACATTTTCACAAAAGATTTACAAATATTGAATTCTATATGATATTAAATTATTGGAAATATAAGTAAACGTGGTCTGTTATTTTAAATCTATATCTATAAACGAGAATGTTTGTTCGATATGCATTCCTAGGACGTTCCACTAATTGCTACGAAACTTCAGTTCCGTTAACATACTACTAACTTAAGGAAAGAGAGACGGACAGACAACAATGGAAATTTATAGATCTACAATTTTTTCAAATTGTAACCCAATAATTTTTTTATAAAAGTAATATTTACGAGAGGGCCCACCAGTGGCCAAGCGGTCTTCGTTCCCCGAACACTGGGAGTTCGGGTCGTGGGTTCGCGCCTCGCTCGGACGGGCTGGCCACGTGGAGTTTTCCGGGTTTTCTCCACGTCTGTAACGCCTAAATAGGGACTAGTTTCCCTTAAAAAGACCTTCCAAGGCATCTCCTAGGCAGATAGCCTAGTGTTGCATTGCCATAACTAAACAAACAATATTTACGAGAACATACTTCCCACGTATTTTTATTAATCTGTTACCAAAATTTAAAGACTTTATTCACGTAAAAATACTAAAATAATTCTTTTATAAGATTTTTTTATTTAACTCGTAAGATGTCAGTGTTTCACCAGCACTGAAGTGGAAAAGCCATTCGAAACTTTGTATGCAGAGCAACAGACTTCTACGACAAGGTTTCTTCAATCTGGTGAAGCGATACGAACCATATGACAGTCCCCATTTATATCGATGCATCAATCTACCTCTCTGCGACCCGGAATCAAATCCGGACTCGGCTCATTATTCGGGCCCATTATGAGTTGGGTCGAGTTCACAAAGAACCTTGTTGGTGCTCACAGAATAGAAAAAGTTAAACACGAGAACGGAGTTAAATAGATGAAAGTCGAGACCAGGAAAGTTTAGGGCAGAAGGCCCAGATTAACTAACTATATAGGTATTTCCGGTTTGCACCGGAAGTCACGTTATTTCGATTCAAAATTCCCCCAAACGGAATCGGATAAATAACCGGTACGACTCTATTGCTAACAGGAAAAGTATGATGTACAGGGGCAGAACACTACTATACTCCACACCGACACCGACAAGTGTTATATGCTACCTGTCCCAGTAAAGGTGTATTTGCACATCTATTTCGCGCTATATCATTCTCATTAATTCGGTGAATATAATATATATTTTTTAATTATATCCTTTTTTGTAAGAATTATATTTAGTTAATTTTTTCCCAATAGATGGAGCTGCATGTAAAACCAGCAATCAAATGTAGACAGAAATTAATTAATCGATATTTTCGGGTGGGATGTACGACATTATCCAAGTTTGAAGTGTTTACACGTAACTGCCGTAGCAATTGATCGAATGGCCTAGGAGTGTATAGCGAACAAACATCCAAACAAACAAACATTCTTATTTTTACCATCCGAATATCGCGATAAACGTGACACTGGTAAGCTGAAATAGCCAAACTCTTTTATATGGTTTTCGTTTTAATGTTTGTTATATTTGATTTATATAACTACAAAGGTTATCTTACGAAAGGATTTATTACACCGAATGACCAATCTAACACTTTTAAAAATTATTTATTCCTCTATTGTACACAATTTAAAGAATTTTTAAAATGTGATATGAGTGGGCGCTCGATGTGATAAACTCTTACGTAAGCTTTATGGTATACATTATAACCTTTGTAAGTTTAAATCAACTACTGTAATATAATACGATAGAAAGGTTAGAAATACGAAATAACCTTAACGTTTGTTTTTATTTTTTGCCAGGGCAATGCCGGTCTTACCTGCTATATATATAAGGATGTTTGTTTGTTTTTTCGCTATGTACGCTTGTGCCGTTCCACCAATTGCTACAAAACTTGACAGTTATCACATACAGTCGATCCCCCTATAAACGGTAGATACGTTCCGTTCTTTATGAATCAATTTTGTAGGAATCACAGCCAATCACAGCCCGACACGTGTGAAGTTTACGGACTACGGCTGTTTGAAAGGTTTTCTTCCATAAAATTAATCGATTCTAGACTAATCCGACTCAACATTTCCAAAATACGTATATTTTTTTTGGAAATAATCCGTATAAACTACGCTATAAACAAAAAATTGTAGGATTACTTACTGAGTGCGCACCGTTCGACATCGCCGTTGCTCAAGCTTGTTTTCGTCGCGGAACAGCGCAGCAAACCGCGGCCGCGATTTCTGATGTTATTTTTCTGCGAAAACTTCGTTGAACTTTGGAGACATCATTAATATAAATAATTTTAATCGCCGTTGAATAAGAAATGTTTCTTTCACAAGAAATGTATAAAATTACAGTGCTGTATTAGACTTACGGTACCTAATTTACATACTGTACAGGCGTTAGCTCGCCTAAACTGTCCGTAGCGTGGTGCTAGACGGCGGAAAGTATATATATATATAATTATAATAAAGTTACAATAAATTAATATATAATTATATATACAGTACCTAATTTATATATAATTATATGTACAGACGATACTAAACTCAATTTACCCGCCTAAACTGTCCGTAGCGTGGCGCTGGACGGCGGAAAGTAGTTCGACTGCCCGATGACGTTTTACGTAATTATAGGAGTTTTTTTACAAGGTTTGTACGGATACTGTAGCAATTTTTTCGCCGTCTTATAGGTATCGTAATTATAGGAACCCGTTTTATAGGGGGATTTACTGTACTTCCAACTTAAATAATGTCATACATCCCACCCGAAAATATCGATTGGATTTTTTTGTCGATTAATTTTTGTCTATTGCCCTTACACATAGCTCCATCTATTGGAAAAATTAAACAAAATAATTAACTAAATATAATTCTTACAAAAAATGGTATAATTTTAAAAACAGTAAATATATTATATTCACTGAATTACTGCAACAATGATATAGCGCGAAATAGATGCGCTATTACTACAATAGGTAGCACAGCGTTTGCCTGCGTTGACTGTAGTAGTGTTTTACCCCTGTACATCATACTTTTCCTGTTAGCAACGGATTCGTATCTAATCCATTCAGTGGAAATAACGTGACTTGCGGTACAAATCTGAAGTTCATATATAGTTAATCTGGTCCTTTTTCTCTTACGATTTCCTGGTCTGATCTCGAATTTCATCTAACTCCGTTCTCAAGTTTAAAGAAAGAGTGACGGACAGATGACAAACAGAGCAAAGTGGAAATATATAGGTTTACAATTTTTCATTGTAAACCCAAATATCTGTATTTACGATGTTTTTTTCAGAGTGGCGTCTTATCCTACGGATAAGAAAAAGCAACTGCCTAGGGCCCCCACCGACAGTTGTCTCCAAACCAATCTTTTATAAGAAAATATTTTTTTCAAAAACATTTCCTGGAGAAAAATATCTCAACTCAACACTGTACCGGGTACATGGAGCCACCTAATTCAAATTCGTCTTGGCTCCATGAAGCTATAACGCGAAAGTTATAGCTTTATGGTATACATCCACCATGGGCAAATGCGGCTCTTGCTTAAAGTGTTAATTTCTGCTTTCTATTATTATTTTTACAATTTTATTTCCACAAAATATGTTTATTAAAAACATTCAATATTTGTTTTATATTGTATTTATATTATATAATAAAATCGCGGTACAGAACTGCAGTACAGAATTAAAAAGTACAGAACTGCGGCTCCCGTGCATTTTGCAAAACCTACATTTCGGCTCCCACTGACCTGTTGCTTGCCCACCCCTGGTATACATTATAAGAGCCGCCGTAAACGTGTGCTAGCCAGTGGCGTAGCGTAGTGTGGGCGACAAAATTCCACAATAAATAATAATAATATCTTGTAAAAATTTGAACCATTTTATTTCGTATATTTCGAGCACCTACGATTCGGACCGATTAAAATGAGCACGGAATAGCGTTACCACACGGACAGTCTGGGAATCGACTCACTGTCCGGGTGAACTGTTAATTTTTCCTGGCAATATCGTGCGCAACCTGTCGACCCTTTTTTTTACGATTCGTATTCATACACATTTCCAATAGAGCTGTCATCTAGGTTACTTACGTTACTCCTACCCAAGTCTCCCTAGTCCCTAACTGTACCTGATTTCGAACCGGCATGCACTGCACATTATTCTTCGCATTGCAAAATGACATTACGCATGCGTCAGGAACTTCTATTCCAACAAATCTCACCTGCCGTCCGGGTCAGCGATTTTAATAAGGTGGCAACACTAGCACGGAATTTTTCATTACTTATTCTGTGAAGAAACTGAATTTTAGTCTTTTAAATTGAGATACTTAAATAAGGGGACGGCGAAATTTTCCTTTGCCCCGGGCGGCTGACACCCACGCTACGCCACTGAATCCACGTCATGTGGATTACGTTACGCGAGAAAATGTGTATGTTTGCGGCTGCTTCTTGCCCGCGTAGCTTACCTAGCAAAAATGGCTCATAACCTCATGGGAAAACAGGCGGAGCTTGGAAGCGCGACCAAGCGTACGCTAGCTCCAACATCCTGTAGTTTGCGGCGGCTCTAACACCGTTTATAATGTATTTTGTGGCTAGAATGCGAAAGTGACAGTCAAAATTCTCCATCGCGCAACAATTTTTCATTTGCAATTTTATAGAATAAAATGTAAATTACATGAACATATTAAAATAAGACAAATTCTGTTGTTTGCAAAACCTCGTAACGAGAAAAAAATATTATATTGTTTATAAAACAGCGCAGTCATTGATGGATAATCTGTGTCGATTTTAAAGTTATCGCGTTACTTGGGAGATTATTCTTGTAATTATTCAAAGTAAATTAATTAAATTAAACAAATATCGTAAATTATTCAAAATATGTTTACGAAAAATTTCTGCTTTTTGCGCCTGTGGAACGGTCTGGAAACAAACAAACAAACACTGTGATAACAGAGATTTGGGAAAGAAACAAGAATACATACCTAGAGAAAAAAGTGTAAAATATGTGCCGCTAAGGACC